AGATGGGAAAGCAGGGATATTCACAGGCAGTCCGGCACCTCAGGGCTAGGAAGGGGATTTTGATGCCCCCCCACCCGTGGGCTGAGTGTCTTGCAGCACAGCTTTACGGCTCTAGCTGTTGGGATTAGGAATCGGATTCACGGGCGGTGTGTCCAGGCAGAGTCTCTCTTCGACGTGAAGTTATTCTCTGATCTTTAAGCAACTAAGCGCTTTGATCAGCTTACAATTGTGTGCTCAAATGGACTGTAATAGTTTAACCTTTTTAAATGTCTCCTTCATTTTGAGAGCTTGGATTTTTATCGTCTTTAATTTTTCTTTTGTCTTTCTGTAGCTTTCGCAGAGCACACACAACTCTGTTTGAGTCATTATTGCTTTTTGCCATTTCTTAAATTAAATCTCTCGCGAGACTCAGATAACAGCTTGTGTTTTACTGTGACTCATTCCCTCCCTGAAAACCACAGAACATGCTGTACTAAACTTTGATTAGACGATGCAAATCAACTCGGTTGGTTGTTTTCATCTTTCTGTTTCGGTATTAACTTTTGGCTAATTGACAGGGAGACGAACAGGTTGAATCGCAAACATTGTACACATTCTGGCCACCTGGACTGAGTTCACTCTTTCAGCTAACAGAATCTCTTCATCGGGATTTCTGCCTCACCTTCAGGCTATTATAATCGTCATGCATTACATCCAGAAGTATTGGTTCATGCCAACCTGCCAAAACATGTTTCCTTGTAGCTTGTAATTGCTTCTACCCTATTTTCCTCCTGACGTTGTCATATTTCTCCTCCTGTCTCCGTCTGTTTGAAGTTTTATGGCCTCATCTTTCCATTTATCCTCCATTTATATCACTTTTTGTTGCAGTAGTTCAAGCATTTAAAGTTTCATAGTAGCCAGAGTGGCATACATTTACAATTCCCACCTTTGGGATTGTTTGTCAGATGACCTGCATTTCAATTTCTCTTAAAGAAATTGTGTGCGAGTGTCTTTGTTGGAGAGATGGTTTTATTTTTAGCCGGGTTATATTTAGACCCTTTGTTTTTTGTGTCTATTCTTATGCAAGCTGTGGTGTTGTACTCTGTTGCACTGATTGTGATAAATTCAAACTGAAACCGTTTGGTTTCACATGGTGGTTTAATCGTGCTCTCAACCACGTATTGGTGTTGAGAACACATTTCTTTTATTTTTTTATGCATATATTTTTCCTCTATTTTTGTTTCGTCAGTGTGGTGATTTATATTTATTAAGGAAAAAGTTATGGAAGTTTTGCAAAAAGTATGTAATGTGAATAAATGTATAATCTCCTGATAGTCCTGCAGCGTAGGAGTTTAACTGAAGCAGCTTTTTCTTTAAGGTTTCAAAGGGTAGTGAAATATATTTAACACACAATATCAATAAATATTAGTTATTGGCCGTAACAGCAATATTTATATCGATTATTGATAGTGGACCAAATTTTCACATCGGTGCATCCCAAGTTGTTTTGCCTTCAACTCATTCTTATAAAGCTTTTCATTTCAACATGGTGTATGTATAAACAATATTAACACACCAGCCTTTCTTCTAGTTAAGCTCTGTGTAACTCATTCAGTTTTATGCCTGGGTTATTGGGTAACAACCATGCATTTCTAATTTTAAGGCTCTCCCTCAAATAAAAGCATTGCAAAGGGGAAAAAAAAGATTAGCACCATTACGACTCTTCTGTCCACATCAGCTCTATTGATCGCCTTGTGGGTCACCACAAAGGATAACAACAGGGGTTAAAGCTGCTGCCCTGAACTGCCCCCTAAGGCCCGTTTTGTCCCCTCCAGCCTCTCAGTTAGGTGTAATCAATTCATCACCTTTACCACCTCCATTACCTCCGTCCTCTCCTTGGAGAGCCGTTATTCTCCCCGAAGCCTTCCAGGGAACAACTGCTCTGGTCACGGTGTCAAATAACATCCTGAAATGTGGATGTGCAGACGGCATTCGGGTGTGCAAGTCAAAAGGAAGGATGTAGAAAGCTCAACTTTAAATGCATCCATTTTGGTGTTGTTTACCACATGGAGCACACTTTAGGGTCAAATCTGAGATTGACCTGTCACTGGAAATTGTTTTCCGAAAAAGGGATCCTGGAGGGAGAAGGATTTCTGTAACTTTTCATTTTATACAAAAAAATTTAGAATTAATGGAAGCTAAAACTCTTATTTAATCAAGTATATAATACTTTAGAAGAAGAACTGTTCTCAGTCACGGATAAATGAGTTCATAATCAATATATGTGTTGAGCAAGACATTTGGTGAGCTATGAAATATAAAATCCCCAAGTTATGCAGCATGTTTTTATTCCTAAAGCGGCGTGAAACCTGATTTTTATGACGTAGCTGTTATAACCCTGTGGTAACTGAATGTTTTGTTCGTCTTTAAACCTCTCGAGTAAACACATCCAGTCTCTCTGCAGCACAGTTCAGTAACACACCCACTGGTGTCAGTCTTGTCAGCCCTGGGCGTGCCTTTGTTTATGGGTGTTGACTTTGTTTCCCTGCACGTGTGTGTGTGTGTGCGTGCGTGTGTGTGTATGTGAGAGAGAGAGAAAGCCTCACACATTTGAGTGTTTGCATTTAATCTTCTGGTGCCAGCTTAAAGCGTCGTTTCTCTCTGGAGATTAGGGAACGTCTGAGGCTCTGCTGTGGAAATAGTCTCTTTTCGATCTCTAAATACACACTGAAGAGGGGCGATGTGGCTGTTTGCTCTGTTCCTGTTTGTTTGTGACAGGAAACTTGTCACTTGTTTCAAAAGAGGATGGGGAGTAAGATTTTCAAGGAATCAAATCAAGAATTGAACGAGGAAAGTAGATTTTTACTCCCATTTTAATTAAAAAAAGATTACTATGCAATGTTTAACTTGATCAAACAGATTAAAGAAGTGAAACAAAGAGTTACATCAACCCATTATTAGAAGATTAATTTATATATGTAATAGTAATAGATCTGGTAATAGCCTTTTAAATCTCATCATGACTCCAACCATTCCTGGTTTCTACTGAAATCAAGCTCAGATTCTTACACACCGGTTTTACTTTGAGTTGTGCAGGAAAACATGAAGCCAAAGGAAAAAGGCCTTTGTTTGCATTTGATGCTTTAACAAATAAGCCTGAGCAATATATCACAGTTAAAGCAGTAACTGTGTGGAACATGCATACCACATAAAACTGCAATAAATTATTTCAAGCTCTCTGCTGCCGTAGCTTTTTATGTGGCCCTTTAGTCTCCAAATTACATCAATAATTTCCTCCAGTTTTTCACAAATCTGCAAAATTCACACAAAATCAACAGATCTCCAAAATTGGTCAAAAATATTGGCCAAGTTATAGTCCGTAATTGATACGGCAAGTAATAAAAAGTCATATTTGACAACATGCATTAGCGCAAATATCATAAAAATTACTTTCTAAATTGGCACCACAAAATCTGCAATTTTGATTGGGGGAAAAAGAATGCTAAAACAATCACAAAATCCCAGAGGAACAGCTATTTATCTATATTTTAACAGTTTAATTGGTTTTATCACTGTATTCTGGCACAACCGGCCCTTTAAGAACATTCAGGTTTTTGACATGACCCAAAATAAAAACGAGTTCGACCCCCGCTGTGCTAGATGGTCAGTTGATCCTTCGATGTGGGGGGAAACAAATTAAATTATAATAGCCTGGTCTGAATACTGAGTTCCACACTCTTGATCCCAACATACATCCTCTGTTCATAAGGCGAGCACTTCCTTAAAGATATGACAGGACATGTTTCACAAAATCCCTTTCATTTCCCCACATTTAGACTCTGTAATACACTAGCAGCGAACATGAGAAGACTGGAAACGGTGTGACAGCTGCTCTACATTACCTGCCATCAGGTGGCGCCACACCAGATTTACTCAGATTACTGTCTGGGCCCCAACTTTTCCTCAGTTTGCACAGGTGCTGCAATGTTGTGTCAGATGTGCTGGATTTAGATGCTCTCCCTCGCCAGATTGTAGCTTTAAATGTGGGGGTTATTGCGAGGAGCCGTTGGCACATAACACACATTTAGATGATTTTCTCTCACCGCAGTAAAACACAGGCTCCACGAGGAGCTGGCGTTGCCCCGCCGCGCCGTAGACGAAGCCTGGGAAGGTGGATCAAAACATGATTAACTCTAGGCTACTGCCTCACCCTGTGTTTCTTGGCTGGCTCGGATATCGAAGTCTGCCATTAACAGAAAATAAATGAACCAGAGTAGGACCCAGACCTACTGCCAGATTGAGCCATTACCAGTTTGGGAAGAGGGCGGGTTAAAGAGCAGGACCTAATCTAGAGGAATTAGATCTATACGGAGCTCACTGTGACATTTTAATCCTCTGCACGGTAGCGAGACTTCCTCCATCTAACTCGTCATCTCGATCCAGTGTTCCTCTTCTTGTGGTGTGAGATGCAGCAGAGTTTTGGTTACAGTACCAGCGCGCTTTAATTATCAGCTGTACTTGTCAACAGTTTCCCCTTTTGAAAGGTCGTTTGACCCGACGGCAGCTGCCGTCAGGGTAGACCAGGCCAAGGTTTATGTCAGCACAACATTACTGCAGCACTCGGATGCCAGAGTGGCAATAAAACAATTCTTGTCTACACAATGAGTACATTTTATGTGATATTTAAACATAAATCCAAATTGTAAATAGAACATTCCTCCAAAAGGTAAACAGTTTGTTTCTCCACTTGGCTGGTACAGGAAAATCTCTGCCTAAATTAAAAATTAAGATACACATCCTGTCTAGAGGCAAGCTCAACTCTGTTTACTTACATAGCACATAATTACTTCTTTTTTTTTTTAATCTTGCATTATTAAATATGGATTATGATCTCAAACTGGCTGCCAGGCTGCAGCAGGGAGTTGGTTACGTAAGCCAGAGGAGCGAAGCTCAAATCCCATTTGTGTCCCAATCCTTCAAGCAGCGAGCCGATAAATATTCCTGTCGTTGTCTGACTTTAGGTTGTGCGCCGCCGCTCAGAGTGCAGCATGGAAGCCTGCTGAACCAGACCGAGTCCAACCAGGTCTCCTACCCTCCTGGCTCCCAGCTCACGTTTGGCTGCGATCCAGGATATACTCCAGATGGACCAGCTACTGTCTTTTGTACCAGCGACGGAGTTTGGTCCCGGTCGCCTCCAAACTGTATCAAAAACTACGGTGAGCAGCAACTTTACTGCTGATTTAAAAGAAATGTAATTTGATGTTGATAAACTTCAAGATGGAATACTTAAAATCTTGAATGTTTCACTGCAAAAACACAAATCTTGCCAAGTATTTCTGGTCTAGTTTCTAGTGCAAATATCTTAGTTCACTTGAAATAAGACACGACTAACCTTAAAGTAGCTTTGTAGCTACATAAACAGGCTTGTTTTGAGTAAATAATTCCTTAACACTGATGAAGAAGTACTTAATCCATCAGCAGATTATTTTACTTATAGCAAGAAATTTTCCTCATGTTTTAAGTTAATTTATCTGCCAATGAA